GTCTCATAGCGCCCCTAGAGGACAGAGTAGAACAGGCTTCTGAGACGGCAACTCTTGCCGGGCAAGACCAGTCCCTGGAGCAGGGCATTATGTGTGGTCAAGGGATGGGGCAGTGCTAAAGAGGAAGGCCCTTGAAGAGATGGACGGACACGGTGGCTGCATTCCTGGGCTCCGGCATGGGGACGATTGTGAAGACAACGTAGAGTGGCGTGTTTCATTCTGCTGGGAGAACAGAGCGCCTTGTCTCTCCCCCCAAGTCGATTCTGACACAGAGCGACCCCGTATAGGGTTTATGACGCTGTGGGTCTTGGTGGGAGCAGGCAGCTCATCTTTCTCTGATGAAGTGGTCCGCAGGTTCAAACTACTAATCTGGCAGTTAGCAGCTTAGCATTTAACCCGTGACATCCCCGATACCCGAGCAGAGCGGACAACGGTAACGCCCCAGAACCAAAGGCTTGGGGTGTCTTTCTCACCATGGCTGGGCTTGGTCACCGCTCTTTCAAAGCGGTGTATCCAGAAGGGTTGCGGGAAGGTGGGGAGAGGAGGGGGGGACCGATCAACACATAACCATGCTTCCCACCTCCAGGGGGACGAACAACAGAAACCAGGGGGGAAGGGAGACAGGTCGTGCAAGATATGAAAATCATAATTGATCAAGGGGTCCAGAGGGTTGGGAGGGGTTGCTGATACCAAGGGCTCAATAGGAAGTAAAAGTTTAGAACAGAATGATGGCCACGTATGTCCAAGTGTGCTTGATGCAATGGATGTACAGATTATTATAAGAGTTGTAAGAGCCCCCAATAAAACGATCTTTTAATTTAAAAAAAAAACCATATAGAGTAAGAAATAATTATTCTCAAGAGCCTTTTTAAAGGAGAAATGGCATTGGGGGAAACATTTCCACCAATTGTTTCCTAAAGCTAAAACTCTTAAGTGTCCCATGCCACAAGACTAGAAAATGAAATAAGACAGACTCCCAGACTTTTCTGAGGATCCCTGATGGCAAAATGGTTATGTGTTGGGCTGCTACATGCAAGGCCAGCAGTTCAAAACCACCAGCCACTCCTCGGGAGAAAAACAGGGCTGTCTGCTCCTGTAAAGAGTTACAGTCCAGGAAACCCACAGGGGCAGTTCCACCCTGCCTGACACGGTCTCTGTGAGTCAGGATCAAGTTTGGTTTGGGTTTTCCCTGGCCTTTCTTAATGCAGCATGGTGCCCAAGTGTGGGGAGAGGAACAGTCCATTGTCTAAGACAGTGGAGCGGAAAGAAGGTGGATTCTGAGTCTCGAGGCTCTCGCGCCGGCTCTGCCTCCCAACACCTCTCTTCCAGGGCCCCTCTGAGTAGACTCGAGACTCTGGATTCAAGCCTCTAAGCTCTCGGTTAGCAGGGTCCTGTATAAACACTAAGCTCCTTCAGAGCAGAATTGGAAGTATGGGCTCCCTGAGTGACACTTTGGCGGCTCAGTCCACTCTACATGATTTACAGAAGTCCCGTCCTTTGTTTAAAGCAGCGGTTCTCAACCTTCCACATGCCGTGACCCTTTCCTACAGTTCCTCATGTAGTGGTGACCCCCCAACCATCACCTTATTTTCATTGCTACTTCATCACTGTCATTTTGCTACTGTTATGAATTGGGCAATCCCTGTGAAAGGGTCGTTTGACCCCGAAAGGGCTCGAGACCCACAGGCTGAGAACCGCTGGTCTAAAGTAACTCAGTCAGTGGGAGTCCAGGTGGCACAGTGGTTTCCGTGTTGGATGGCTAACTACAAGGTCAACAACTTGCATCTACCCGCGGCTCTGCAGGAGAAAGACGAAGCTGAAGAGTCACCTTCTTGGAAACCCACAGAGGCAGTTCTGCCCTGTGCGGTAGGGGCCCATGCGTTGGAATGGACTTGATGGGCACCAGTGGAGTTTTCTGTTGGGGTGCATGTGTAAGGCGATGGTCTTGAGAAACTCCCGGGGAAATTTTCATTCTCTTTGAGCAACACCTGGGGCCCTGTGTTAATGGCATAACGAACAGATCTCTGTGGGCGGTCTTTCTCTCTTAATAGTCTGTTCCCCTGCTTTCCTTAAGGAGCCCTGGTGGCCTAGTGGGTTGCGCAGGGAACAACTAACCACAAGGTTAGCAGTTCAGACCCACTAGATGGGGCTAGCTGCTCCCATCAAGCTTTATAGCCACAGAAACCCCAAAGAGGTACGGTCTACTCTACCTTATAGGGACACTATTGGTCCAAGTGGACTCTACGGTAGTGAGTTTGGGAGCCCCTGGTGGCCTGGTGAGTTATGCCTCGGGCTACTAACAGGAAGGTCGGTGGTTCAAGCCCACCAGCCACTTCATGGGAGAAAGAGGAGGCCGTCTGCTCCGGTAAAGACTGACAGTCCTAGGAACCTTGTCTAGGTTCACCATGGTCAGAATCATCGTGATGGGAGGTAAGCTGCTTTGGGGTTGGGGTTACATTAGTGGGGAGTTTGGGGAATGACCTCAGCATCTCAGAGCAAAATAAACTATTTTACTGGGAACCAATTTCTCTACCTTGAGCTGAAGGCCACGAAATTGCATTGTCAACCAATCAGTAGACTGCCCTCTAAGAACTATGCTTCGTAAGAGACCGACGGCCGTGTTTCTTGTAGTGACTTACAATGGGGACACTTGACGCTGAACCTTGATCCGGTGTAACTCTCTCTCGTTCAGATGTATCAGAACCTGCATGGTCAGAGCCGGGAGCGCACTTCCATCTACCAGAACCGGCGACCTGGCGGTCCAGAAATGGACTCAGGGGCTCCCTCTCCAGCAGTGCAGGCAGAAGACTCGTAGAGACAAGCAACAGTCCAACAAATCCATCTCAGTGAGCTTCTCCCCCGCCTCCCGTAAACCGGCTGTAGATGACCAACACGAGGTTAAGTTCATCACTCAAGAAAATATGTTATCAACTGCTGCTTTTCTGGACCTTTCTCTCGGGGCTGTCTTCTTTCCTCTTGTTCCCAAAGGGACTTTTCTAGAACCGGGCCAAGGTCATCCTTGAGGCAGGAAGAGCTGGCGATCAACTCTTCGTAGAGCATTGACGTCCAAGGGCTCCTGGCGCCGACCGCGTGACTGCCATAGGCCGGAAGTCGACTCTGTTTCATGTAAATACCTAAAGCGGAAGCATTTTGCTAAGAAGCTAATATGATTTTCTAAATCTATGTTTTAAAACAATATGTATCTTTTTTCAGCTATTTAGTGATCTATTTTATGGATGGGAATAAAGTTTCTACTCTAGAAATGTTGGTTCTCGAATTATTTCCCAGGGATCCGTGTTTAGGGCAAAGTGTGTGGCATGCTGGAAGCCACATGGGAGGGTGGGTTCTGACCGGAGGACATCCTGAGATGGCCACCCTAAGACACCCTTTAACCCTGGAGCCCAAGCTGTTCCCTCAGGTCCCCTTCCAGCGAAATATCAGATTTCTGTCTCCCAAACTGAAAACTCCTCCCCTGACTCTGGGGCTCAATTTAAGGACTTCTCACGAGACTGGAAG